ACAACCACCGACTGTTGCTGCCACCACCACACCACCCACTCGGATGTCCCCCCTTCCGCTTGCATGGAACATTATTCATGAGGGGCGGTGGTGGCGGAGCGGAAGCATATTTTATGTTTTAACGCTGTCGAAATTGGGCAGCAACAACAGCATCCCATACATCAGCATTTAGACTCCTCCTCCTCCCCCCCCATCTCATCCTGTAAGCAATTTATGGGCGGTGGAGGGGTGAGTGTGACTGGGGGGCGGACGTATGTCTTGTGGTTTTAACGCTTGCAATTTTGTTGTTGAGTTTGTCGCCTGTCCGCGATTGTTGCTGTTTTTACCGCCCTTGGAGGCCGCGGTTCTTGCCGCTTTGGGATGTTTTAACCGCTGTCCCTGTCGCTTTTTCCGTCCGGCTCTGCAGCTTTTACCGCTTATGCTGTTCCTTCCCATATACCTTCCGCTGCGCTGCTGATTTCTTGTATAGCTCTTACCGCCTTTGCAGCGCTGATGCTGTTATAACCGCTTGCAATTTAGCGACTTAAGCGCGTATTTACAGCGCATTTTGAAGTGTGTTTCGTGTCCCATAAAACAAATGAATAAATAAGCTGACAGGTGCAGGAAGAGCCACAGAGAAACACACAGAGATGCAGACAGACATTCGGACAGACACTGCAAATGACAAAAGGTGGACAAGAGGGGGGGGAAAGGAGACGGAGAGGAGACGACACTGTTAAGCTCTCTTAAGCCAAACAAATGGGAGCAGATGAATTATTGAAGATGAGTGGAACCGGCTAAAGAGTTATGAAAGCAGCCGCAGGGAGAGATATAAACGCACAAACGAACATTTTCGTGATAATCACATTAAAAAATCATGCAAAGTTTTACAAAAGTTGTACAGTCTTTCCCCAAAAGTTGAAAATGGACTGCATGAACAGGTTTGAATCTGAATAAGTGCCAACGAGCGAGTGCACTTTCGGATGAGCGGAATACTCCATATTCGGCTCTTACTCGAATGCGAGACGAAGAAACGAAGCGGATGTACATGTTGATCTTGATTATAACAGTTATATCTATATAACTTTTTAAAACCATAAACACAGATTTTTTCTACCGATCCTCTGGAAATTGTAGAGATTGGTTAATTTGTACAGCCAAAATGAAAAATAATTCCAAGGTTCATCTTCATTTCTGGAGTTACTGGAACTTTCTTTAGAAAAAGCCGAGTTAACTTCCCTTCAGAAGAACCAGAATCGATTAAAAAACATCATATTCTGGGAGACAACTAGTATTAATTCCTACAGTATTCCTAGAAAATTCATGAAGCAAATCAACTCAAATGATCTCCCCTATTAACGATTATTTGTGCATATGTATATCGTATATCGTATCTAGAGAGGCTGCTGCTTTCATGACAGCAAATTGCCCAAAGAGCAAGACGCCTCATTGCCCCCATTATTTCCACACAAGCGAGAAGAGAAGTGCCTTCTATTCTAGTGCTGTTGCTGTTGCTGCTGCCGCCTCTGCCTCATTTGGCTGCCATCAATTAAAGCAAATCGAGCAAGTCGCGTTTTGCTTAAGTTCATCAATTTTCTCTCCCTCTAAAGAGCCACAGATTTTCACTCCACGAAACTTGGGATCTTCAGATCTGGGCAGCCAAATATCCAACGTTTTTCCCATTGCCCCTAGAGAGCCGTCGAGTCCGATTGGGTTTCAATATTCGCAAGGGGCACTTGGCACTTCTCCACGTACTCTCCACCACACTGCTGCAGCGATCGCCTATCGCTTGACCAAGTGCATTCGTTTGGGGTCTTGGGGCTTTTCGTAAATTATGTGACAGCTACGCCAAAAGCAAACAAAAGGAAACCAAACCAAACCAAAATAAACCAACCCACCAACACACAAACAAACAATTAGTTTTGCCACCAGAGAAGAATCCAGAATGGGAACAGACTGGAGATGATGATGGCGATGACGATGATCAGAGTTGAGAGTTGAGAGCTGGTAGCCCAGAGAAATATCTAGAATGGGAAAACGTAAATGAAGAGTTTCCATTTCGAAGCTCAAGGGAAGTACCTTTATAAATAAATAATAAATAGTGAAAGTTCAATTTCAATTACAGATCTAATGCATGATGGGAATGGATATCGTTTCAGTTTCCTCGCTGCTGTGAACTCTGGGGGAAACAAAGGCCAAATACAAATGAGTGGCATCTGCATTTAGTATGTTTTGGCAATAAAATGCAAATGGTAAAAAGGCAAGGAACATAAAAAGGCCAAGTCGAAGGGCCATTATCAGCTTTCGATACGGTTATGCTGCTCTCTTCTCAAAAACGATTTTATGTACCGCCCCTGGAATGATTTCAATTTTCCATCTTTTCCTTTTTTTATTTTCGAACTGCTGTGGCACATTTACTATGCTGTTTGGGGCATGCAGCAGCTAAAAACTGTAAAGTCCATAAAATGCTTTTCCCGCACATCACAAAGGGATTTATGCATGTGTGTGTGTGTGTGTCTGTACAGTATGGCTCATAGGTGTATGTATGTGCACGTGTGTGCGTGTGTGAATATTTTACGTTTCTGAAAATTTGATGAATCTCCACAAATGCACAGAGACAGAGAACTAGAGACAGGAGGACAGGAGAGGGAGCAGCACTCAAAGCAACTTCATCGCACAAGGAAAATATCCATCAACACTCTTGTTTTATGGCGCTCTCTCTCTCTCTCTCTCTCTTATGGTTGCTGTCTCTTTCGTTTAATATAGTGCTGTCTCATTCGCTCATGTTTGCTGGCACACATCCGTCTATCTGTCTGTCTGTCTGTCTTTCTGTCTGTCTATCAATTTGTTGTTTGGCCTAACAGCAACTCTTCACATTTTGTTTTGCTTTGTGGCCATTTTAATAGCTTTCCTTTACTTTGTATCTCCAAGATACAAATCTATCTATAGAATGTGTGCAGTATATTTAGCTGGCGGCTAAGATTTGTGAAATTAAAGTGCACACACTCAAAAGACCGAACCTCTTCCCCCTGTCTGGCTAATTGTTTCAGTCGTTTACCCTGCCCTGCTAATTGTCTCTTCCCTTTTGCATTGCCATTGCCCTGTAAACGTTTTGTCAAGCGGATTAGCTCGGAGTTATACCCCCGGCCGGACCGCCCACCTCTTTCCTTAAAGAGCTTTGGGGCTATTACGCAGGTCTCTGGGCATGTAATACCCAATGTTTTCAGTGGCTAAGGCGACATACATTATCCACCTTGAAATGGGTAAAGTAAACACCCAAAGGTGGGGGAAGGCATCTGGGGGCTATAGACTAATGCGCTTTGCATTGCAATTGCTTTGCCGTTCGAACTTCGTATGTGATAACAATACAAAGCTTACATGACGACTTACATGAGATTAAAGTTGCAATTGAAGAACTTCACCGATAGGTATTCGATGGAGGAGATACGTGCATACATAGATTATTGGAACGACACATGTCAAGTGCAGTGGCTAAGATTATCTAAAAGAAGGTCATTTGTGTATCTTTAGAAATATTTAAGGAATTCCAAGCTATCAATAGCTGCCCAGAGATATTCCCAGGGCCACCCATATTCTCGTATAGTCGTAAATCGTAATCCCCTGACTAGTTCCCCGTCCGTCAACCGACAAATGATAATTTAATCAAATCCGAAACTACGTCAAATAACGAAATAAAACAGCGGGAGCTAAATAGATAAAAATTGGCCAGCCACCGTTTCGATCGGAGGTGAGGTGGATTGGATCCAAACAAAAATGTTAAGTGTTGCCGCAAAAGCAAACAATTTGTAAACATTTCAAACATTCAATTAATTAATTAATGGCGAAAATGTGGCAGGGCAGAGACGTTTCAGTGGCGAAAGTTTAAATCAAATTCGGAGGGAAACAGAGGCGAAGCGATCCAGAGGGACGGATGCGGAGATACTACCGAGAGGTAGAAGTAGGGGAGATCCAAGATACGAGACTGAGAGCCAGATCTGTTGTGGGGGGGCCTCGAGGCGAAGACGGAGACGGAAATAGCCGGGAGAGAGAGAGAGATATGCTGAGCTCGTTACTCATACGCCAATTTACGATGCACTTAAACTTTATGAGAATTTAAGATTTCCTGCAAATCAGCAGAGGAGTGGAGCAGCAGAGGAGCAGTGTGATAACCGAAGCGCTGGACAGGAAATGTGAGGTGCGGTGCAGCCGCGTGTCGGCATTTCAACACAAAAAGAAAACCTCATAATAAGCTCTGATATAAAATAGAAATAAATGGAATTTCCACTGAAATGAAACCAATTCAAATGAAAAGAAAATTTTCGGCTATTCCCAGAAGACTGCTGATAAGAATGGGTCTACATACATACATATGTATATGTACATACATGTGGTGGATTAGTTGTAACTAAAAATTCAGATAAAAGAGCTTTGGGTGCTTTCTATCTGTGGCTGAACATTTTTTGGAGGCACTTGACTTTCTCCTCATGAGTACCGTGAAGGATCCGATCAGCACCAGTCCGCAGAGCAGGTCCTTGAGGGAGAAGCGCGCCCTCTCACAGAACGTCCTGCTGGAAGTCATTGCAACCAATTTCAGTCTGCAAGGGGGCGGCTGCAAGGCCATTTAAAATTGAGAGATTACTATTAAAAAGAGGTATGGATGCATTCGGCTGCAATGCATTCAAGACAAATCCACCCTAATATGCCTTTGAATATAAAAACGGCTTTCTTTTCTTCAAGTTATATTGCTCCCACACGTGAGGTGAGGTTTGTACGAACCTGGCCATTTGCTTTGGCTGTTTTTGCCTGTTGTCCATCCCCTTTTGCCCAGCCCATTCAAAAATACGACTCAAAGATGGCGCTGTCCACGTTACACCAATAGATGTCGCAATGGTGCAGTTCATGTAAAATATACATCATGTAAATTTATTTATGATGGGCTGTTCTCATTTAGTGATGAGCATTTGTAATACTGTTCCCATCTATATTATTAATTCCTAACCATACAATGCCCTCTCTTTCAGCGAACACTTCATTTCGGAGCACACGGTAATGGCTGTCTTCACCTCCCAGGGACAGGTGGGGGGACCGTGTCGGTATATGCCTGCCACGAGGCGGCAGAACCACCAGTGCCGAAAGGAGACAGGCCTGCCGGGGACCCTCAGCGAGGCGCGTCGCCTGGCCACCAGCCACTGCGAGGATCAGTTCCGCTACGATCGCTGGAACTGCTCCATTGAGACGCGTGGCAAGCGAAACATCTTTAAGAAGCTGTACAAGGAGACGGCCTTTGTGCATGCCCTGACAGCGGCTGCCATGACGCACTCCATAGCCAGGGCCTGTGCCGAGGGAAGGATGACCAAGTGCAGCTGTGGACCGCGAAAGCAGAACCGCGTGGACCAGGACTTTCAGTGGGGCGGCTGCAACGACAATTTGAAGCATGGCAAACGGGTGACGCGTAGCTTTCTCGATTTGCGCGGAGGCGATGGAGACGAAGTCAGTGAGATATTGCGACATGACTCCGAGGTGAGGATCTATAATCTATATACCTTCTGATTTGAATGAATTTAAAGGCAAATTTCTGTGTCTACTTAAAGGTCGGCATCGAAGCCGTCTCCTCGCTGATGAAGGACAAATGCAAATGCCATGGCGTCTCCGGCTCCTGTTCAATGAAGACCTGCTGGAAGAAGATGGCCGATTTCAATGCCACGGCCACGCTGCTGCGACAGAAGTACAACCAGGCCATACGCAAAGCCCCCAATCAGCGGACCAAGCGCCAGATGCCCTCGAGTCGCATGAAAAAGCCCAAACAGCGACGCAAGAAAGTGAGTTCCCTTTACCTAAATATGTAGTAAGGATCTGCATCTATAACTTATGCAGCCTGCCCCTTATTTGTATGCCAAACAGCCACAGCAATCACAATATACCACACTGTACTATCTGGAGACCTCGCCCACCTACTGCTCGGTCACCAAGGATCGCCAGTGCCTGCATCCCGAGAACTGTTCGAATCTGTGCTGCGGCAGGGGCTACACCACGCAGGTCTTCAAGCAGGTGGAGAAGTGTCGATGCCGGTTCAACAACGGACGGTGCTGCCAGCTAATTTGCGACTATTGTCAGCGATACGAGGATAAATACTTTTGTAAATAGGCTCGCTTTATATGTCTCTCCTCCTCTCATCCTATCCTCCTATCCTTTCCCCCTCTTTTTCTATCCAACCAACCTACATCTCTCTATATCTCCATCTCTCTCTCCCTTTGTGCTTTTTGAAAATGTAATTTGTAAAGTTTATTTCCATCATTGCTTGTAATTTTATTTCCATTCCTAACTAAGAAAACAAGAAAATATTAATGAAATGATAAGCAAATGAACGAAAATGATATGTAAAACGCGTGTAAAACGCACCAAAAAGTAGGCTCATCCAAACACTCACACTCACACACATACACACATGCCCATGCAAATACATACTCACATACATGCATACATCTATCTCTATATATATATATAAAACCCACTATATAGTAAAAAAAAACAAAGTAAAAGTTAGCTACCGTCGCAAAAAAAAATCTCAAAAAAATGGCAAAAAATTCATTTTAGCAAAAAAGAAAATACAAAAAAAATACTACACACAACCATACACTGACACACAAAGAACAAAGAAAAACGAAGCATTTATCTACCCATTCGTAGATAAATAATAAATAAATGATCTAATTCAATTTTGCTCAACATTTACTTTTGTTGTGGGCCCCACCACCTCCACTCACAAATCGATTCGCTAATCGTTTGGCTCCACATCCAGCGATGTGGGTGACAGCGTGTCCGTGGACTCGGTGCAAGATCAGATGCAGATGCTGTAGGGCATCGAGGGCCACTGCCGCATGTCGGAATTCTTATTCAAGGATCAAGGATATTTTTCGATCATATTTGTGAACTTTTTAATTGTTGCTTTCTGTGCTCACTTACCTTTTAAGAGACTTACCGAGAATTTAACCTTTACTTTTCCGTGTTGTACGGCGCATCCAGCGGCGCGTCCTGTCGGCGGACGCCCTCAGGTGGCCTTACCCGTTTAGGTGTTGCCGGATCGATACTGCATCCACGATTGCGTGGATTGCGCCAGCAGCTGGTTGATTACTTATTTACCTATATTTTTCAACGTACGATGTACGATGCGATCCCCTCCTCTTAACTCGCCAGGTAAAGTTCTTAAGTTATTATTTATTCATTTACTTACTGAACTCTTCCTTTTATTTTAACAGGTTGCACACTCCGGTGTCCGCGGACCCCTATATGCCCAACGTTTCATATTAACGCGTGTGCGCTCGAGGCGCACTCCATTCCAGGCGCCTGACCAGCTGACATCGCAAACTCCCCGCCGGCTCCTTCATGACATCGTGGTCCCGTGCGCCTCTCGGACATGATTCTTGACGGGCAAAGCTGTTTTCTCCGCCTTTCCAGTCCGGTCCAGTCCTTTCCGGTAATTCCGCCGTAGCTCCTCGTCCTTTCGGGAGGTCCAAGGGGTGTGATCCTGGCTGGACAGAGGCAGCCACTAGCTGTCCTTCTATGGGACATAGCTAAATGTCGCTGCTGTGTCACTGAGTCGACAATGTGGCGTCCCGTCTGCTGCAGCAGGGACCAGGCCGAGTCCTATCCCAGCCAGACAGAATCGTATCCCAGCAAGACAGAAGCGCACCCATTGCACGATCCGAACCTAACAAGCCATCGTCATCCCTCGACCTGGCCATTGCAACAAGGACTTTGACTCTGACAGCCAAGGAAAGAGCTACGCGGGCTACTACACTATAGATATTTATCGTTGTTGTTAGGTTTAAGGATATACGCGTCCATATATTTAGATAGAAGATACAAATGTTTTCCACTTGTTTATTTATTTATAATACGCTAAGCTATGATGAATAAAAATATTGAAAAATCGTCCTTGCTGTTTTTTGTATAGGGAAAACAATGCCGATTTTAAATAGGCGTCGCACGCCCAGATCGGTTCAGAAATAGTGGAGAAAACTAAATATTTTTGATTGGGGAAAATGTCCTTGATCCTTGATAAGGACTCCATCCAATCGGGGGCAAGATATATGTGCCTTGATAAAATATCCTTGATTATTGGTCCTTGAAAAGGACTCCATCAGATCAAGGATGTTATTCCGAAAACAGGAAGCTGTCGCACGTCGCGATCGGACCAAAAATGGCCGAGAAAACTAAATATGTATGGTTGGGGTTATTGGAATCCTTAACGAAGGATCAAGGATCACGGGGGCCATGGGACGCCCCAACCGGGCCAGAAATAATAAAGAAAATAAGATATATATGATTGGAGAAAATGTCCTTGATCCTTGGTCCTTGATAAGGACTTCATAAAATCAGGGACATTTTTCCGAGCACAGGAAGCCATCGCACTTCCCGATCGGCCCATAAATAACAGAGAAAACAAAACGTGTTTGTAATTTGTTATTTTTGAAAAGTAGTTCAAGAAATCACCGATAGCGGCGCCACCGTACAAAAAGCAAAACTCGCGTCAAATGGAAAAAATCGGATGGGATACCAGGCAAACAGAAATCAGCAGAAGGTCGATGATTTTTTTTAAAAATTGCGAGCCCCCTAAAGTATGCTGCGATTTTTTTTGCAATTCCTACAGTTGCTTGCTGCTGATTTCTGTTCGCCTGGTGTCCCATCCAGATTTTGGCCATTCGACGCGAGACTTTTTTCTTTTGTACGGTGGCGCCGCTATCGGTGATTTCTTGAACTACATTTTCAAAAATAACAAATTAAAAACCAGTTTTGTTTTCTCCGTTATTTGAGGTCCGATCGGGACATGCGACGGCTTCCTGTGATCGGAAAAATGTCCCTGATTTCATGGAGTCCTTATCAAGGATCAAGGATATCTTCTCTAGACATATATATCTTTCTTTCTCCGTTTTTGTTTCCCGATCGGGGCTGCCATGGCCCTCTGTGATCAGAAAAATGTCCTTGATCCTTCGGTAAGGACTCCAACAGCCCGAACCATACATATTTAGTTTTTTCGGATATTTCCTGGTCAATCTGGGCATTCCTATGCTTTAAAAATGTCCCTGATTTGATGGAGTCCTTATCAAGGATCAAGGACATTTTCCCCAATCAAAAATATTTAGTTTTCTCCGCTATTTGTGAACCGATCTGGGCGTGCGACGCCTATTTTAAATTGGGATTGTTTCCCCTATACAAAAAACAGCAAGGATGATTTTTCAATATTTTTATTCATCATAGCTTAGCGTATTATAAATAAATAAACAAGTGGAAAACATTTGTATCTTCTATCTAAATATATGGACGCGTATATCCTTAAACCTAACAACAACGATAAATATCTATAGTGTAGTAGCCCGCGTAGCTCTTCCCTTGGCTTTCATACTCAAAGTCCTTGTTGTTGATGGCCAGGTCGAGGGATGACGATGGCTTCTTATGTTCGGATCTTGCAATGGGTGCGCTTCCGTCCTGCTGGGATACGATTCTGTCTGACTAGAATAGGACTCGGTGTGTCTCAGTAATGCCTGGATAGACCTTCGTTTGGCGACGGAAATCGGATACGACTCGCTTTGTGGCTAAGCGTAGGGTACATAAGACTTCTGTGAAGGAAGATACATATACTTTAAAATATATCCACAATTACATATATGTATAATGATTTACTTACGCGTCTCAAGCTGAAGCCCAGCGTTTTATTGCTGACACTAATTCCCGTGGTTGTGAACCAACAATTCCGCCGTCGATCTCTGGTCCCTACTGCAGCGGATGGGACGCCTCCTTGTCGACTCAGCGATACAGCAGTGGAATCATGGCTATGGCCCGCAGCAGGACAGGCAGTGGCTGCAAGAGATATAGCGTACAGATAAAACCAGTATTGTAATGATGTGCAGATCCAAATCTTCGGAAGGCTATTTCTCAGACAAATAGGGTCAGATCGGTGCAGGACCAACTCTCCCAGGATCGTGGGGATCCAGACTGTTGAACGGCATTGAAATCTCGACTACGAAAATGAGGCCGATTTTTTGCAAATTTAATGATGTAACCATCATGATTTTTTGCGAAAATCGTGAAAAAATGGATGTCCCTTTTTCCGATAGCGGTCGATTGGCAGGACTCTCCCGATCACAGAGAGACATGCCACGCCCCGATCAGCCGCCGGGTAGCCGAGATATAGCCTACAGAAAAAACCAGTATTGTCATAATATGCAGATCCAAATCTTTGGAAGGCTGTATCTCAGACAAATAGGGCCTGATCGGCGCAGGACCAACACTCCCAGGATCTTGAGGATCCAGACTGTTAACTGGCATCGAAATGTCGGCTACGAAAATGAGGCCGATTTTTTGCAAATTTAATGATGTAACCATCATGATTTTTTGCGAAAATCGTGAAAAAATGGATGTCCCTTTTTCCAAAAGCGGTCGATTGGCAGGACTCTCCCGATCACAGAGAGACATGCCACGCCCCGATCAGCCGCCGGGTAGCCGAGATATAGCCTACAGAAAAAACCAGTATTGTAATGATGTGCAGATCCAAATCTTCGGAAGGCTGTATCTCAGACAAATAGGGCCTGATCGGCGCAGGACCAACTCTCCCAGGATCTTGAGGATCCAGACTGTCGAACGGCATCGAAATCTCGACTACGAAAATGAGGCCGATTTTTTGCAAATTTAATGATGTAACCATCATGATTTTTTGCGAAAATCGTGAAAAAATGGATGTCCCTTTTTCCAAAAGCGGTCGATTGGCAGGACTCTCCCGATCACAGAGAGACATGCCACGCCCCGATCAGCCGCTGGGTAGCCGAGATATAGCCTACAGAAAAAACCAGTATTGTCATAATATGCAGATCCAAATCTTCGGAAGGCTATATCTCAGACAAATAGGGCCTGATCGGCGCAGGACCAACTCTCCCAGGATCTTGAGGATCCAGACTGTCGAACGGCATCGAAATCTCGACTACGAAAATGAGGCCGATTTTTTGCAAATTTAATGATGTAACCATCATGATTTTTTGCGAAAATCGTGAAAAAATGGATGTCCCTTTTTCCAAAAGCGGTCGATTGGCAGGACTCTCCCGATCACAGAGAGACATGCCACGCCCCGATCAGCCGCCGGGTAGCCGAGATATAGCCTACAGAAAAAACCAGTATTGTAATGATGTGCAGATCCAAATCTTCGGAAGGCTGTATCTCAGACAAATAGGGCCTGATCGGCGCAGGACCAACTCTCCCAGGATCTTGAGGATCCAGACTGTCGAACGGCATCGAAATCTCGACTACGAAAATGAGGCCGAT